TGACAATACTGCAGTTCCTAGTAGTATTCTCTACTCCACTGTGAGCATAAATAGCTAACTTAAAAGTTTACTCCTGTGTATTTGCAGGCCCTGGTAAGGGGCCAGGTGACTGCATAAGTAAAAGAAGTAGTTGTATGCTTACTTTGTGTAGTAATTTAGAAAACAATTCTGCACATCAGTGCACTTTTTTTTCCTCATTTAGGTTTTATTGTTTTAGCCAACAGTGATTGCTGAGCAGTTTCTTTTAGAAATGTTCTATGCCTTTCTTTTAACAAAACAGGTCTGTTTTCAATATTTTCACATTGTTTCTTGGCTGTCTTCCTTTTTACTCTTTCTATATTATTAGTCTACTTTCTGGCTTCAAATTTTTTTTATCTTTCTTTAAAATCTAGAGGAATGCTTTGAAGTACTTTCTCTCCGTGCCTTCTGTCACTTCCATTTAAGTTTTTCAGTGGTGGGTTAGGTTTAACATAGGAAAGAAATACACCCATCTACTGCAAATGTCACCTTAAAACTCCTGAACTTTTTTTTAAGCTAAAAGCAAACAAGCCTTTGCCTCTGGCCTGAAACAAAGCATAGTGAACTTCAAACAGAAATACATCCATCTACTGCAAATGTCACCCTAAAACTCCTGAACTTTTTTTTTTAAGCTAAAAGCAAACAAGCCTTTGCCTCTGGCCTGAAACAAAGCATAGTGAACTTCAAACCCAAAGTAAATAACCTTGCATCATTAAAAACAATTAAAAAATCAATGTCTTGAATTCTTCTGTAGTGCCACAGTGAGTGCTGCTTGTAATAGCAGTAGTTTAAATACCATTTTTGGTTTAATGTTTTGGCTGAAAGAAAAGGGAGCACATGATACTCCTCTGTAAGACCACAATGACAGTGGGCTAACAGCTGTGAATGCTCTTGGTGGTTAGCGTGTGAGACCTTGGTTTGGTTCTTGTCCAGTGTACATACTCTAGGGTCTGTGTTTGCATGGCTTACACCAGGTTTGTAGATGTTTTAATATGCTGGGGAGACAAGCTACATGTTTGGTGGGATGTTGGTGGTTAGAGTGGTTAAGAACGAGGAACCAGAAGGAATATGACCAACAAAAACTTGCTGGAGAATAAAAACCCAGTTGTGTAGAGCTAGGATAGCATCAGGCAGGTTTTGAGAAGGAAGAGAACTGAAAACTGCTGCTGCTGTGTGTCAGGGTTAAATGTTCCTCTTACAAATATACATTAATGACTTGCCAAAGTGGAACCCTAGTAATAATGCGTGCATAGTATATTATAAATTACCTGTGTACATCTAATCTGTATCTTTTGATGCAAACCAGACCTCGATGCCTGTGATGGAACGGATGGTTATCAGCAGCGTGTAGCACTTAGCACACGCACACAGCAGCACGGATGTATAGCTAAACACTGCGAGAACTTTGCAAAGTAAGAAGGAACATCCCTTTGGGGGACTTTTGGATTGAATTAGTGTTGAAGCTAGGCCAGTGGTCAGTTAATTGACCGCAGTGGTCTGTAAAATTAAGGAACTGTTTCCCAACTCTCCTGTTCTATAGATACTAGTTACTTACTTCATTAATCTGTCTTTTTGCAGGCTCCCACCATGTTTTGCAAACTGTGAAAATGCTCATGGAGGATTTATTTTTTTCCTTTCAGTTATTTAGTGTCCCCTCCTTCTTTGAACAGCTTTCTGACAGATGACATTTTTCCAGCTTTCTTCTGCTTAATCATATGTCTGATACTCAGACTGGAGACATGAAGCTTTCTAGTACAGTAGAATATCTCTTTCTGTACTTGTTTTCCACATCTGGTCAGCTACACTTGTGGCAGAAGGTTGTTCATGTGTCAGACCAGATATCCCTCTTAAGAAACAGGGGGGAGACAATAAGTAGTTTTCTCCAGATCAATCTCACCGCTATTGGCAGGAGTCAGATTTCTCTCAGGGTGATTAATGGTCCTTGAGAAATTATTTACCAATTCCCTTGAAAAACATCGCAAGATTCCTCCATGGATTGAAATCTTCCATCTGCTACTGTGCTCCTTTGCAATCAGGCTTTTCTGCAGCTGGTGAGTGGGAAAGTAAGTCACTGTTATTTGGCCAGATGATCCTCTGCTGTCATACATACACAACATTTGCAAATTTTGCTTTTTTTTTTTATTTTAATGCCCTATAACCTGTCATCTTCCTTTTGTCCTTATCTCTCAGTTAAGTATTTTATAATGTCTCTTTATCCTTTCTCCGACTCCTTTATCCTTGCTCCCTGTCTTTCCTCCTTTCATGTATGGTTATTTTCAGCTGTGTTCCAATATCTTTACCCAAGCCTTCCTGCTTCTCCCATCTTCGTAGATTCCTTGCACAGACCCTGGTCACCCATCCTTGTCCTATGTTTGCTGTTTTTCCATATCTTGCCTCCTTCTGCTATTCCTTTCCTTATCCTCATATTTTATTTGTTGCCATGGGAATACCCACTGTGACTTCTAAATAATACACAAAGAGATGTGGTTTTGTTTTTGTAAAATGGAGAACTTTTAAAATTCTTGATTGTGAAAACAAGATTTACAAAAACCCAAGAAACTAAAATCTGTGAGATAATAAAGCAAAAATCTTGAATAAAATAATATAAAAATAATCATTGCTTTTAGACAGAGGAAGGTCTTCTACTAACGCTGTGGCATGGCAACCTTTCATGTTATGTAGGTCAGAATCTAAGAAATGTCTGTAGTTCTCAGTGTTTGCCATTACTGTTTATTTCATGATTAAATGCTATGGAACCAAGAAAATAATAAGATGCTATACCGTGAACCATGCTTCCAAGCTGGAAACTAGCTTTTATGATTTTATTGCAAATCCCGGAGAGTTCCTTCTATGCTTCCATCTTAAAGAATGCAGAAACGTTCCTGAAGAACCTCATGAATACGAAAAAATAGGGAAAGTGACATGTTTATGCCCTCTTTGTTGCAGAAAGCATTGGCTTTGCACGTGTGATATATGGGCCTAGATAAGTTCCTTGGCTTCTCTGCTTCCTCTGTGAGTTTTGTTCCAGAAAAATTCTTTGTTCAGAGATACTGAACAATGTGTGCTCTGGTGTTTGTCTTCCCTGGGCTTCATGAACTGCAAACTACACCTAAGCACTTGTCCTCTTCTTAACTGCATACTGCTGTTTAGTATGGCATAATGCGGGGATTAACACCCTTAACATTATATGGATTTTGTGGAAAGCCCAGAAAGAGTACTGTTTAACTGTACACCAAAATTAAGATGTTGGTGTACTTCAAGCCACATACTGAAACCCACACTGCTTCTGTGGTTACTTGCACTTAAAGCAGTGAGCAAACAGCTGGACATATTTTTCCCCAAATCATAATATGCCTTACTGTTAGTGTAATTTCTGTATAAATTGAAGAAAAACTAAAACATTCTTTTTGAAAGGGGACCTTTTTGACTGTATGTATACTCACATATGCATGAACACATACTTACCCAGAAAGAGTAAGTAATTTTTAAAAATTGGGCTATGAAGGAACCCCTAAACGCAGTGAGCTGCAGTTGGACTTGGTCCTAATCTATATGGACCACCAGTATGGAGTTTCTTTTAAGACCTGACAGTAAGCTCTGCCTGGTATTTATCATGTGTTTATGTTTAATATGTATTTCTGAAAATACAGGCTGAACCTGAGCTAAATAGAAATTGAGAAATTATCATAGCTCCAAAACAGCTCTGTTTGCATTGTATGAATGTGGTCTTGGTGTTTCAACTGGACAAGAATATAAATATATGGTTAAATTATCAAGGCTAGGGATTACAAGAAGTGTCTAGGAATGCTTTTCCACTCAGTGGGATCCTCAGTAAGAAAGGGAATAAAGAAGTAGAGGCTTCATCTGAGGGTTTTTGGGGGAAGGTGGAATGAAACCTGGGCTCTGACAGCCACCTTCATCGTCTTTGCGATTAGTCTGATATACTTTTTTTTCTACCTGACTGATGCTCAGAACATCTTAAAGCTAAACCAAAGAGTGAGTACTTAACAAACCATACTATTATTCCTTCTTCTTATTTTCTTTTATTTTGTGTGTGTGCTAGTTTCAAATGCAGTAACTGGTTTCCAAACTATATTTTATTACAATTTTTTTTGCGTTCTCATTCATCTCATTTAATATTTCAAGGTGTTTGGCTAATGCTGAGTATCGTGTCCCTGAGGGGCGAGTCATACATCCTGCTCAGCTTAAGAGTTTCAAAAGTGTCTCTGGAAAACTTCCAACTAAACTGGAAGGGCCTGGTTCAAGATGGGTGGCAGGTTAGTGGAGAGAGATCTCTCTTGATGAGCGGTTCCTCCTGGATTAACAGGAAAATGGAGGGAGTATTCACAGCAGCCCTGTGAGATGGGACTTCTGTGAGATTCGTCTGCCTCAGGCCTGAAGGAAGGGAACTCTCAGGTCTCACAGAGTGAGTGCAGCACCGAAAAAGGGGGCTGTGGCTTGGAGTTGTAGAGTCTTCTATTTGCCAGTATGCAAAAGGGATTAGGGCTGTGCCAGTGGCATATCAGACTTTGGGAAGACTGGTATCAGCAGCTGAGCAGGTGGATCTGCTGCAGCTTTTGTCACTGCTTACATTGAATAAGGAGAGCTGGAAAGGGACCAAAGGAAATAATCTAATCCAAAGCCTCCATGTCATGGAGTCCTTTTGCATAGAGATGCCAGATTATGGTATGAAGTAGGATTTTGGTCCCATGCTGAACATGCAGCACGTAACAAGATTATGTGTCACGGGAGTGAAAATTTCTTACACTTTAAGTTGCTTCCTGTAATTTTTTTCTGTGATTCAGAGCCTCAGGCTTATATTTGGGTGCTTTTGTATTTATTTTTATTACACAAGTTATATATACATTTATCTACTTAGAAGTGTATACCCATCTGTTTATTTCTATGTCTATGCATTTTATAACTACATTTAATATATGTTGCTGAAATTGGTTGATTTTGTTCTTTGTTTCCTTTATCAGTTTGCTGAAAGCAGTCAGAAAAAAGAGACTTTACAAAAAAGCATTGAGAAGGCAAAAATTGGACGTGAAGACACTGTAAGTTGATGTGGGGGGGGGGGGGGCAATAATAACAGGAAATAAAACGGGGGGGGGGAGGCATTCATACCAGGAAATAGAGCCACAAGTATGCATGGTTTGTAAATACTAATGTAGTAACTGGAAAACCATTAAGACTTCTAAGTACTGGAGATGAGAAAGGAAGAGGAAAAAAAAATATTATATTATTGTTTAGTTGGTCATGCACTAATGAGTAAAGATTGACAACTGGCTGCTCCAAGGCTGAGAAAATGACTGCCTGAAGTCCAGTAATCTTACAAGCTTTTTCAGATTTAAAGATATCTTAGAACCTGAGCTATCCACAGGTGTGTGCCAAAGTTGCCAATGGTTGGTGAATTGCCAGATCTAGTAACTGCAAACTTGGGTGTTGGCAGTGGTTTTCTTTAAGTTTTGTTTTATTTATTATCCAAATTTCTGAGCGGCCAAGTAAGCTTGGTGCTCTTAGCATGCTGAAGCTGTTAACACTGCAAAATAATATTTAGGCTTCACATTTAACATACATATGAAGTAGTGTATTAGAAGTAATTAATACAGTATTCTAAGTTGCTGATTTTTTTTGAGTTGCTCAGTCTAAACTGGTTTAAGCCTCCAATAAATAAATAAATACATAAACAGGTATGGCCAGAAATTTTCAGGAGGAATGGAATTTTGTAGGGAAGTGCCAAATTTTAGAATCCAGAATATTTTATAGAAATGCTCTGGGTTTGACTGAAATCAAGAAATCACAGTCAGGCTTCTCATGCAGCTGTGCTTGTCAGGTTTCCAAATGGACTATTCAAGACTCGGGCTTCTCCACCATGTGGCCTGCCCTCATCACAAGAGCGTTCTGACTGACGCTTCTAACGTTTTGGTTCAAGATTATACATCAGGATGCAGTCCCGAGAAATGTAGACCGTGATGTAGGTCTCTGAGCAGCCAGCCTCCATACCCCAGCATCTGGAAGCTTTTGATTTCCAATCTGCATTTTCAGAATGTTCTGAATCCAGGCTGTTGGCAAAAACACAGGGAATATGGAAATTTGAAAAAAACCTCAGAATGCTGGGCTGCCATGGAGATTGCTAGTGGCTCAAAACCTGATGGTTTACAAGCTCATGCTATCTGGCTTTTTTAGGCTACCCAGTGCCCTAGCATGAGATCTTTGAATATCAGCCAGTTAGGATGCTTGGCTGTAAGTACAGGCTGAATTAGAAATATGTGCTGAGTTGGCTATGGGAGAGCTCATGTTGAGTCAGTGTCTGCAGAGTTTTTTTGATCAATAGAATATTTGAGGTCAATAAATATTGTATACTCTCCCAGCAATGACTACCATGTCATAAATATCTGAATTTATTTTTGAGACTACTGCTTTTAAATGCTGGGGGAAAAAAGGAGAAAAATTATGGTGGGTTAACCTTGACTGGATGCCAGGTGCCCGCCAGGCCCCTCTATCCCTCCTCCTTCAGCAAAATAAGGGGGGAGAACAAGACGAAAAACTCGTGGGTCAAGATAAAAGCAGTTTAATTAAAGCAAAGGCCAAGGCCACGCACAGAAACAAAAGGAAAACAAAGATGTTGTTCTCTGCTTCCCCTCAGTAAGCGATGTCCAGCCACTTCCCGGCAAAGCAGAGCTTCAGTGTGTGTAACAGCTGCTCCTGGAGACAAACCCAGTAACCAATGCCCCCCTCCTCCTCCCTGCCCTTGGCTGTTATGGCTGAGCTGAGGTCACATGGTATGGAACAGCCAATCCGGGTCAGCTGTCCTGGCCCCGCCCCCTCCCAAGGTGTGTGACACACCCCCTGCTGGCTGCCAGGGGGACACTCAGCACTGGGAGGCTGCTGGGGGGATACTGACTCCAGCTCAGCCAGACCCAATACAAAAATAATTTTGGAGTGTGTTCATACACAGCATCTTGATTTGTGGGAGTATGGATGGTAGGTTTTTGTGTAATACTCTCTTAATTACAAGACTAGCACTTCTAAATGTGCTTTAACCTTTAAGCCCAGCAATTGAGATCTATTCACAGTTTGTCAAACCATGTTGAGTTCAAAGGTTGTAGAAAATTGTTCTTTTGGTTATCCATTTTGGCCTTACTTTTTTCCTTCCAGTTCATACTTGTTACCATTTAGTGAGTTTTGTGTGTACATAAAATGCTTAGCTGGCTCATTGACAGAAAGCAGTTGTGAAAACAGCTTTTAAATTTATATCTCTTTGTGCTTTGAAAAATGGTCTGTGCAATAATTACTGATTTTATTTTTTTTTAATCTCCCAATGTACTTTGACTCATCAGGCAGAACGTGCAGCTCTAGTAAAGGAACTTGCTGCCCTTCGGCAGAAAAAAGAACAGCTAAAGGCAGAAATAGACAAATACAGAGAATGTGATCCAGATGTCGTTGAAGAAATGCGTGAGTTATATATTGTTTAAAGTGAATTTTTGCACAAAAAGGTCTGCACTTCTTTAGCTTAAAATCTGGTATGCAGATAAGCCAAAGAATAGCTGCTTGGCTTTTAAAGTTGTGAACAGTACAATACAGGTACACTGACCATTTCTTTTCATGTTCTGTCATATTATGTCAGAGTTTCTACTGATATTTACTCTGCCAACAACTGAGCAGTTAAACAAACCTAAAATTGAAATACTCTGATGTGTTAGAATTAGGATCAAGACCATTTGTTCTAGAACCGTACTAATTCTATAGCTTCAAAGTGTGCTGAACTCTAGAATGTGTGTAGGAAGAGTGTTCACTGGCTTCCATTTACCTTCAGTTTCATGCTGGCAAAACAACTATCTTTGTACTTCCTTTGTCTTGTCTGTTTAGAACACAAGCATTTAATTAGAGACAATTTTTACTTATATGTAAGTATGGTATTATACTGTTGACACTGTTTGTACTGTCTCTGACATGCTGGGGCTTAGTTGGAGTTTCTAGTTCTAATAGAATACAAGGAATGATGAGTGACTTTAATACTTAATTCAGAATTGGGCACTGAAATATACTTAATATTCTGATCCTTAGCATGAAAAATGAAAAGCATGCATGAAATTTTATTGAATTTTCTCTACTTCAACTTTCATGTTTTATTTATTAGGCTTTTACGTTGCTACCCAAACACCCCTGCGTATTCAGTTGGTGTAATGCCAGAATGCCATAACAGAGTGATGAGGAACAGGCACAGACCTTTTTCTGAGAAGATATCTGACTGAATCTTTCTCTTTCCTTATTCTTCTGACAAAGTCCATAGCTTTAGAAATGTGCTGAGAGAAAGCCAGGGACATAAACAGAGTTGTCAGCACAACCCAAAATGGGACAGATGTTATTTTGAGGGGCTGTGACATTTTTTTGTCAGCTGCATTATCTTTCCCCAAGGATGTAATGGCATGCCAGGGAATAAGCAAACTTGAGACCTGAGGTTAGTTGCTGTGCTGTAAATCCCTCGCTGTGTGCTCTCCTGAGGACAAGTAACAGACACATTCCAGCTGATTCCAGCTGTAAAAATGAATGAGTTTAGGCAGATGCTGACAGCAGAGATACTCATCGTGCCAGGTATTTTAACTGCTGAGATGCCCTTCTAGTAAGCATTGCAGTGAACAATTTGAGGAGTCCGTTGAAGCAGTCACAGTGAGCATGTTCCTAAATAATAGGCACAGAGGGGCAAACCACAGCTCAAATGCTAGGGCAGCCTGCATTAGCTGGCAACACAGAGACTAATATCCTGAAAAGAGGGAAGGAAATGTAATCATTAGTTGCTCCTGTCATGTCCTGCTCTTTTAAAGAGTGTGGAAGCTCCACATAAGCTTCTACAACGGAGGGATGAGCATGTAAGGGAGTTGGTGGGGAATATTCAGTAGTGTTTTGAAAATAATTTGTCCCTGACCTTTGATTAAAAAGTTTCTGCTTTGTTATATGTTTTATCAGTCATCGTTGCACTGGTGGTGCACATTTTTTCTGGCAATGTATAAATTAATAAATAGCAATGGCGATTTTGGCAACTTAATTTTTTTGTCAAAGCTGAATGGAATTTTACAGGATAGAAGGGGAGAAAAAAGGAAAAAGAAAAGAAAAGAAAAGGCCGGGTGTTGGGGGCATTTCTCTTGTCCCAGAGTGGAGGGAAGTGCAAAGGCGAAACAAGATGCAGGAAGTTATGGTTTTTAGCATATGAAGGCAATAAAGAATCTGAGGCAATGGAAGGTGTTCAGCTGGATATGAAGGTTACTGCCGCTGTTTCACAGAATAACCTTGTAATTAAAGTTACTGGTTTACAGATTTTTCGAACTACTTGAGTGATACAATTTTCTACTAGCTGTACAATTTAGATAACATCCCTTTGATTATTTTCAGTTAGATTACCTGAGCAGATTGCTAAATCTAAATTACTTTATTTTAATTTTGAGTCAGAAATCAGAGATGGCTGTTATGTTCTATAGTTGCACACTTGTGAAGAGTTGGAATGTTCAGTACAATAGGTTTTGTAATGGGCGGTTGTTACTTTCTATGTTTGGGTTTTCCTCTTCTTCCTTAATGACTTCAACCTGTAAGGAAATCTTTCTGATGCTCAAGATGAAATTTCACTCTTAAGTTCCCATCCCGTATCACAGAGCTGCCTTGATTTTTGTTGTGGTATTTTAGGGGTGTATCAAATTGTCATCTGATTTCAGTGGCTTTCAAATTTGGCAAATGCTTTGCTATGCCTTTTTAAAAAAGGAATATTGCAGAAAGAAATTTATTGATTGTTAGATTTACATATTACAGTGATGACTCCCATTAAAACACGCACACACACTAATTCCAGGGTCAAAATGAAGTTTGGATGATTCATAGCGAATATCTGAAGTCTCAACTAAAAGCTGAACATCTGTCTTGCTTCCTGAGTCTTGTGGTGGGAAAGTCATGTTTGACCATGTAACTAAATATATTATAACGCATATTCACAAGGGGGCAAATCAGAATACTCAAATATTAACTCTGGTTTTTTGCTGACTTCACTGCTTGTCCCTTTAATATCAGTAACAAATGTTTTGCTCTATGTTTTGGCTTAATTTCCTTGGCTTTTGTATTAGAAAGCTGAAGTATAAACTGTAATGCCTTCTCAAGTTTACAGCATATGAACACAGAATTTCAGTATTTGTATGTGACAATTAACTGCAGTAAATGGCAGAAGAAACAAGATTTAGGGACTGACCACTAGAGGAAGCTACATAATAGTCTGGTCTTGTGGATATATTTGGATAATTCCATTTTACAGGAAGGGTATTGTAAAAATATATCTAGAATTGCAAACTACATGGATTTCTTTTAATGACCTTCCGTGGTTGAAGCTTGTCTTTACCACTTGGAAATGCTGTTTAAACCATCTTGTGTGAGTTAGGATCGAGTAATAAATTCTTCCTCAACATTAAAGGCAGTAAAACTGACAACAGTCATCGGAAGTAAAAAACCAAAATAAATACTGGGATTTTATACTTCTCTGTAAAGCCTGTAATCCTGCTTCAGCTGGCTCAGGACAGAGCCCTTGTTTCTGAGCTTTGAGGCAGATTTTTGTAGGCTGGAGGATAGTCTCCTGGGGAAGCAGCCATTGTAGAGAAGAGATTCTCTATTCCTCCAGGGGAACAGCTTATATGATATAACATGTATGTATGCAAAGTTGGATACATGTGATGCTGCTAGATTCCCTAAAGATTACAGTAGAGGACAAAGGCATGGAGAATGCAAGCTTTAAGTAGTTCAAAATTTATCCAGATTTTCATGAGGGCAGCAAAAAAAGTTCCACATAACATCCAGACTAACCTGCTGCATAAGTTTAATTTTTTCTGCCTGCCAGAGAGGGATGTTAGGGAGCTAATAATTTTTTTCTGACAAATTTATAGAAAGGTTTATGTAGCAGCCTAAGGATATAAATGATACGGATTTTGCTCTGAGTTGTTGGCCAGCTTGTAACCGGAAATAGCTAAACATGTTCAGTGTTCACTGTAAAATAAACATTTTGAGAATTTGAAACTTCTTGTTCTTCCACTGTAATGTTGATGTATACTATGTTAAAACATTGGTGGATCTGAGCAAACCTTAGCTATGTTTTTCATAGTAGTCCTGCTTTGGTTACCTTGTGCCTTTTCATATGACAGTAATCTCAGTAGCAGTTACGCACTGACTGGAGTGAGTGTCTTCAGTGTGGTATGGTTGCTAATGTTTATGGGGCTGGCTTTAAATGTTGCCTGTCAGCATTCCTATTTAGCATGTTTTTAGAATGTCCAATTATTGATAATATTTATGTCTTTGCCTTTTACCTTTAAAACAGTGATCTGAACATGTCTAGACAAATTGTATTTTTAAAAATTAGCAAACTGCCAGATAAAACACTTGTAAAGTAGCAATTCTGCTGTCAACCTTCTTCTGCTCTCTTTGTTTCTTTTTACCCTGTAGCAAGAGGCATAAGTGGTTTAAATGGACAGGATTTCAAACCATAAATACACAGTTAAACTTTGGAATCTCCAAAAATGTGATCTCGGAGGCATGACTACCAGTCCAGTTCAGGGTTAGATTATTTTCTAGAACTAATACTTAAATGGCTGTGTAAAAATAAATTTTTGGAGAAGATCCAGACTTTACTGATACAGTGAAAATGTCATGCTATATATAATATGTACTTGAAAGTGTCTTTTTTTTCATTGTAGATGCTTAGATGCTTCAAAAAATTCTGTTTCTCATGTGTCTAAACACTGAAAATTTCAGGTTAACAAATTTCAGGTTGACAAATTGTTGTGAAGAATTATATCAGGGTATACAGACAGTGTGAGAAAACAGTTCTGGGTTTACCAGTTTCTTCATTCATCTTGATATCTTGAGGCTGAATGCTGAACAGGTAACATTGATTTAGCTGATGGATTTTGTGGGATGTATAGTTTGGGTTTTGAATATTTTTTTGTTGATACACCCAGGTATTATGTTCTAACTGTTACATTCAAATAAATTTGAAAATGTGTTCTGCATGTAGATGTATTTAACATTATAAAAACTTAGTACCAACTGCTAGATTCTTTTTGGGGTTTCTTACTAGTGCTGGGAATAGTCCTTGTTCCCAGAGGGGAAACAGTAATGAAGAAATGAGATGAAGATTAGACTATCTTGGTTAATGGAGAAGCTTTAGAATGAGTTGCATCAATTTTACTCAACATTCATCAAAACGCTGATTATTTATAAAATTATTTAACAGGGTCTCTCTTATTCTTTGTGGCAAAGACAGAAAACATCAGGAAGGTTATTTAAACTCAAGCCTTGCCAGAGCTTTCAGTTTATGAATTATTAAGTAGCTATTTTTATAACTGCAATGATCCACTTGGAAAAGTAAATGTCTACAAATAATTTTAAGCAGGGTCTAGGTGCCACCAAGATCAATAGGGTACAGATGA